CCAAAAGTGGTGCAAGGAAAGACAACCTGTGGTCAGGGGTCACTTGTGACTAAGACTCATCGATGTACGTGGGGAGCAAAGGCTAGCCCATCTGGTCTGATCACACATAAATAGCTACTTAAGCTCAATTTTCTAAAAACAACTAGTGCTGGCCACAGGGTGTTACAGTGTGCTGCATATGGGGCTTCCACAGAACAGAGTCCCCATGATGGCCCATGTCCACTGCCAAAGGTGTCATCAATGGGGACTTTAGCATCAGAACGGGACCATGATGCAATGGAAGAAGATTGCCTTGTCTGATGAATCATGTTTTCTTTTAGATAAGAAGTATGACCAGGTGCATGTGTGTTCTTTACCATGGAAAGTAATGTCAGCAGGATGCACTATGGGAAGAAGGCAGGCTGGCAGAGGCAATGTTATGCTCTGGGCAAGGTTCTGCTGGGAAAACTTGGATTCTGGCATTCATGTGGATTTTACTTTTACACATACCACCTATCTAGAGATTGCTACAGACATAGCCATGGTGTTCCCTGATGGCAATGGCCTCTTTCAGCAGGATAATGCACCCTACCCTTTTTCAGGAATGGTTTAAGAAACATGAGAAAGAGTTCAAGGCGTTGCATTGGCTTCCAAATTGAGTATCTGTAGGATGAGCTGGAACAACAGTTTGGATCCATGGAGGCCCCACCCAATGATGTATTCTGGTTTTGTGCTGCTCTCACACACACTGAGACACAAATATATTCACTTACAGATACAAACTGACAAACACACATACACACTCACTGACACACACACACACACTGACAGATACACACTCACTGACAGAATTGCATACCCACTCACTGACAGACGTACACTCACTCAGTGTCAGACACACACACTGAGACAACCATATACTCGCTGACAGATACACACATACCCACTCACTGACAGACACATACACACTCAGTGTGAGACACACACCCACTCAGTGTCAGACACACACACTCACTGACAGACACACACACACACTGACTCAGTGTCAGACACACACATTCACTGACAGACACACATACACTAGCTGGCAGACACACACATTCACTAACAGATATTCACACTTACTGACAGATACACACTGACATGCACATAAACACACTAACAGACACACACACTCACTAACAGACACACACTAACAGACATACACACCAATACACTTACTGACACACACACACACACACACACACACTAACACACTCACTAACAGACACACACACTAACACACTCACTAACTGACAAACACATTAACACACTCACAATTTATGTATTTATTTTTAATATCAATCCACCAAGCCTCCCTAGCTGTGGGAGTGCTGGAGTAGATTCTTGCCGCCCCCCTGAAAGTGCCACCCTTGTCATCTTGTGCGAAATACAGCGCTGGCCCCACCTCACAACTTGCAGGGCATAAAGAATTTGCTGTTAATGGTCCCAGATACCTTAGGTCAGGTGATAAAAAGTTATGAAATTTATTGTTTTAACATAGATGGATGGGTTTGATATAAAGCAAGTCTAAACACTTTTTTCAACTGAGAAACATATTTTTGCAAGTTCTTTGCAAAAAAAATGTAATAAAATAAATAAATAAATAACATAGGCAACTCTGAAACCCATTATCAAGAAGGGCCAAGCAATATGGTTACACCTATATACTCTCATACAACACTAGAAGTTAAGGGAGGAACTGGTTGGACTGAACTTATTTATAAACACATCACCCATTACTTTAGATGGGAAAATGAGAAGGACAAGTTGCAGGTTCTCCTTTTAGGTATTTAGAAGCTCTAAGAACTTCAAGTTCAATTTATTTTCTAGACCTCATACCACTTTCTATGGGATGGGACAAATAACACATGGGCAGTGTTGGCTGACACTCACAAAATTTTTACGCCTGAGCCTGACGACTCAGTTTCAAAAAATGATCGTTCTAAAATTTATCTCAAATAAGTTAGCTATTAAACTAATGCATTAAGTTTCAAATTAATTTCAATTGTTTTTGGAGATCGGCGGGTCATCCAAATTCTGTAATCCCAAATCAACACATGACCAAATCTCAAAGCAACTATAACGGACAAATATTTATTTCATGACCAATAGCGGGGGGAAAAAGAGGAGCAGTAAAAAAAATAAAATATTTTTATATATTATATATTTAAAAAATATATAATATATAAACATATTTTTTTCTTCTACTTTTTGTCCCTTTATTGGTCCTGTGAAACAAATGTCGAGGTCCATATTTACATTATGTTTTGCATGGGTAAAATTTATCTGAGCCGAAATGTCACATGGATGAATTTTAGTTCACCAAACGCATTTTTTTTCTGCTAAACCTTATTTTTGTTAGCCATGCTCAACTCTACTACCTTTAGATAAGCAATTAGTATAAGCTTTCAAACATTTTAAATCGACCTTAGAAGGGCATCAACTGACTTAAAATGTTTATGATTTAAGTTTGGCAGAGATTTTAGTAAATATTTGTTTTTTTTTGTGACTATACCTGTATACAATGTATTTAACCATATCAATAATTGGTCAGTTGGTTAATTAAACAGTTACTGCAAGTTAAAAGAACTAGAACACGTCCATTTAGTTTTCAAGATTATCTCCCATAAATGAAATGTTTGCAACTGAATTTTTCTTGAAGCATTTCACCTTCAACACTGTAGCATAACTTTATCAAGTGGAAAAATATCTCTAGTGAGACTTAACAAGTCCTATTTTTATTTTCATTTTTCAGTTAGATGACTTATCAAGCGAATCTTCCTTAAAACCTAATTTCACACCAGGGAGATGGGAAGATTGTTTTCTCCACTTGATAAATCTTGTCCTTTTTATGTTTTTAAACTTTTGTATAGCTTGAAAGGGTATATTACCATGGTATGCTGTGTATCCATGCTGTCGTACTTAATATACATTTTTGCCATGCTGTGTATTTAGTGCAAAATATGAAACAAATTCATAATGATTGTCATGTAAATCTGTTAATGTTTGATAAGTTTTAGGTTAAATATGAAGAGACATTAACAAAAAACATGTAAGGTTTCAGAACACCTGTAAAATATGTCAGTGAATATTACTCATCCCCACATACCAAGAAACATTACTGTAGCTCTTACTGGGATGAATAGTTTAGTGGCGATGAATAGAAAATGCAATTTTCAGGGAAAATGCAATTACAACTCCAGGCACCGACAATGTACAATGCTGCACTGAATTCTCTCATGTGTGCTCTGAAATATGTTTGTGAAGTGCAGTATGAGCTGTGCCCTAACAGCACCAGTACACCCAAAGATAATTTGCATCACATGCTCTGACTGTGCCAGACAAGCTTGACAATTGTTTTGTTTTTATAAAGTTGGAGTTTATCGATGAGTTAGGGTTACAAACAATCAAAGGTTATACAATTATACCTGTGATAATTTAGATTCAGATATTGTTGTGAACGTTGTGCTTAAATAAGTGGGTACAAAGTTTGTGAGATTGTTGTTCATCCATAAACCATTATTAAATAAACATTCAAATCAAAACCTTAGGGGATCAGGAAGGGGGGAAAGGAGTTTAAGGGTCTTGGAAAGGGGAAAATCAGTCCTTAATGTCCCAACTACTGCATTCAGCTCTGGGTGCTCAGAATTTGGTTTAGGTGACTATCGTGTATGGGGCCATTCTTCTTTCAAATTGTCCCAATTTATTCCATATGGATTTATTGCACATTAGGCAACCAGAGAATGGGTAATCAGAAAAATTATAAATCATAACTAAAAGATACCAGTTAAATAACATTTACAATGAGGTTTAGATAGTCGCGGGCACAGCTGTCATACCTGGTAAGGATTTATTCTATTGGGTTATAGATGGGTTAATTGTACACATGTGATATTCCATTTGTTCCATGCCTTCTGCTAAAAGTTGCTTAAAGTATGGTGGGACCTGGCAGATATCTCATTCTTCTCTGTCAGTGTTAGTTCTTGTCTGGAAGGAACACGTTCAGATGCCTAATTCTGAGCCAGTAAAGTCAGGGTTGCTATAATAATAAGAAAAATCACCTGTTTGGGGAGTTTTATAGGAAAATTGAATGATAAAAGGCATTCCAGTTTGATGGATAAAGTGATTCCTGTGCTAGTTTGTATAAGTGTGGTTACCTTTGTCCAGCACTTTGAAAGTGCTTGGCAACCCCATCAGATATGTAACATGTACCTGTTCCCTAAAGACATCTAAAAAATGTGCTGGTTTTATTAGGGTATAATATAGCTAACATTGTCGATACCATCTACCACCCATAAAAAATATTTCTGGTTATTTCAACATGGGAAGAGCATAATGATCCATAACATCACTAGATGGGGATTGTACCGCCAAAGTGTATCTATATAGAGCTTTATAAATTGTAAACGCAATTTTATTTCCTCTATTTATATTTTATACGAGATACCCTACACTATATTTTGCTGCATTCTTCTGTTTCCACATATTTCTTCTAGCTTTGAGAATGCAGTTATCTCAAGAAATATATCAATGCATTACTCCCTCTTCCTATTTCAAGTACTTTCTGTTGGACCAGATTTGAGAGACTTTGGTTCTGGTGTTTGAGTTGTCCATTTGTTTTAAGTGTAAGCGCTAGAAACCACGCTTCCATATATTTAAAAAAAAAAGTATGCCTCTTGCATTTCATGACATAGCAACACCAGTTTCATTCACGTATTTTCATGAATAAATCTAGTGCTGCATATTGATAAATTACATTACCAATAAAGTCCTACTGAATAGGGATATATAGGATATTATCAGCCCTTCCTCTGATAACATTATGAGCACCTGGATTGGATAAAAAATTTTGTATGGTATAAGCAAACACAGAAACTAAATAAATAATAAATATATATTTTTTAAATTAGAAAAATATATATTTTTAAATAAATAATGCAATAGAAAATTGGGGTCAGTTTCAACATGTAGTGTCACTTCTTAGTATCATAAGATTATTGCACGTGATATAAATAAAAACATTGAAACATTTCATGCTGTGTTTTTTTATTGTTTTCTCTTGTTCGCATTTACAAAGAAGGTGAAAACCAATTTAGGTTTTATGAAAGATGCTACAAATTTTCTACAAGTTCTATACTGGTGTTCATAGAAAACAGACTGTGAGTAGCGTAAATCACAAAAACCCACTTACAATTCAGAAATAACTCCCAGTGAAATAAAATGTGGGATACTTTGGATACTTTGCTATACAGAACCATTTCAACATGTTTCTGTGTGGTTCTTTTCCATTGATTACATATACAGTTGTTTGTCTGCAGTGTTAAAAAATGTAATCAAGTACAACAAAAAAACAACAAACATTGTTCTTCAAATGTATTAACAAATGTAACATCAAGTACTGAAATTAGTTTTTCTATTGAAAAAAATTGAATGCCTAAAATTGTGTAATTAGAAATAGTAATTGTATAAAGTGTAATAATTTGTTTTCATGTTGCAGTCATGGGCCATATTCAACAGAAATTTGGAAGAAGGAGAAAATATTGCAGGGTAACTCAGGCTTCTAGTTTTAAGCACTGTTGAAGTACCTACACATTTTGTAACAAAACTGCACAATAATGGGCCATAATGGATTAAGAAGCAAAGTCATGTTACAATGGATAATTTTTTTTTAGCATGGTGGAAATATTTTACATGCTAGGCAATTGTATTCTAAATTCCACATCTGCTTTCAATTAACAATAATCTTGTGTTTAGAATGTTGAATCTTTACTAACCTTTACTGTGAAATATAAGATATTTCTAAGCAGGCACAACAAGTGTCATTTGCAAAGGTTTTCCAACCAACATGAATAATGGCCCTGATTTATTATTTTTGGATAAGATTTTTTAATTTTTTAATATTTTTTAATACATTTTACAATGATTACATATTTTGAAAAATATTTTATTTTTATTTACTATTTTGAATATATATATATATATATATATTTACATATATATATATAGAGAGAGAGAGATTCCATATATTTTGATATATTATTATTTTGTAAATATAATTTTAAAAATGTATTTAAAAATATTAAATCATTTAAAAAGCTTATTGAAAATGTTTTAAATATATGCCAGTGTTAGGTGAAATAGTAATCTGGAGGACACATCTCCATGTCATCTAGAAACGTAAAACAAATTAGTTGCAATGTCACCTGTTGCAGGCAATTTGTACAACTTGTCTTAGTTAAATCACTCCAGCTTAAAAGTATCTGATGTACTTTTACAAATATAGAACATGTATTGATCACACGCTTGTGACTCCTGAACCCAAGCAAGTTGGTTGGTCATGATTTTTAGATAATTCTCAGCTGATATCCTGTCTTGAACAATTATAAAAAAGTTAAAGCCAGTTACTATTGAGTTGACATCTAAAAAAAAGGTAGTAAAAAGGAGTAATATGAAAATAAATTAATAAAAAAAAAACAGAAATAAAAGTAAACCAGAAGAATTGATAGAGGTAAGTTGGAAAAATATGCAAAAGGGTCAGTTGATGAATTTATAACTTGTCCCACCACAGATTTATTAACATGTGCTGGCCACCAAAATGTAGATGAAATATTGCTGCTCTATTTCTCAAAATATATGTGGACAGGTACCATCATAGGACAGGTACCATTAATAATTATATTAATAATACTAGTTAAATGTATACAGCAATGATAGGTAAATTCATAGAACTCTAATTCTTTGACCATAAACAGGCATAATTTAAGAAACAGTTTTTTCCTGCTAAATATTGACAGGTCCATGCAATTTACTGCCTTACTACTACCTGTATCATGACTAAAGGCACCAATTGGATTGACTAGTTCATTCCTTCATATTCCTTTGAATTTAAAAGTCTATTGAAGCCAACAGGTTGACTGAGGATTTAAATCTATTCCAAAAACAACGACCATATGCTGTCTCAAACAAACTCTGGCAGTCTTTTTGATGCTAATTGTTCCTTCGACAGTTTATTTATTGCAGGTTGTTTGTTAAAATACATTACTTAACAGTCACGAAATGTTTTGCCAAATATAAAGAATATTTGTAGATAAAGCACAAATATTAAAGGAGTACCCTAGGCACCAAACCAACCCATGGTTTTGTGTCTAATTATTATGGAATACTTTGACACTTTGACACTAGCCATATGTTCATGGATGCATACAGTCCATCTCCTCATTAGAGATATTGCTAAGGTAGAAGTTTCTCCTCCACATATACAATATGAATTACATACTTGTTTGGCCAGAATTGATCGACTGAGAGTGTCAGCTCTCAAATAATGAATGCATCCAACTTGGAAAACATTTATACTATGGAAGGAGAACTTCTGCTATAGCAATAATTGTAATGAGGATTCAGACCCCAGTTACCAATAAGATCAACCGTTCATCAAATAACTGAAAACAGTTTGACATAAAGGTGTTGGATGGCACCTCCTGGTACCATAACCTCTCCAGTAAGTTGTAGTGGTTGTAGTGTTTAACGTAGCCCTTTAAAAGTAAAAAAAAGTAAAATTAAGCACAAACATACCAAACAAATCTCAAATATTAATTGGGTCCAATTGGAGGGCTGTCTGTCCAAGTACAATGCTAACTTAGTTCTTGTTGTGGTATGGTAAACATTTGCCTATTAAATAGGTTAACTTTAATGTATTTTTTAAAATGAAATAGAATTATATGTGAAATGTTTACACTGATATTTTACTCTTCTCTTGTTTGTTTTTACCAATCTAGGATTTTCAACAGGAATGGAAAAAAAAAAGGATATTAGTTCATAGATGTAATTTCGGTATTGACGCTTTTTAAATTATCCAGCTAGAATTATGGTGTTCTACACTATTGTTATTAATTTAAGTTTTTTAGTACATGACAAGAATGTAAATAGCAAAATATGTATATCCTGAATTTCAGTTTTGATTGTTCTCAATTTAAACTTTTATAGTGAAATGAAATTTCTGTTGAATAAGCCCAAGTAGAAGTATGCCAACAAGAAAACCACTAACGTACAAAAAAAACTTATGTTAGTTTGCATGGATATACCAATTATTTTTAATTTTTACTGTAAAAAATTATTCATTCACTCCTGGAATTGCTGTAATTTTGACAGAATGACAAATTCAATGGTTCCATTCATTTCTTGCTACTAAAGTAATAACCAGTTTTTCCATCCACTGCATTTTACAACGATAATAAAATAAATAATAAAAGACATGATATTGGAAGCATTTATTTGCTTGATAAAATATATTCTGTGTTGTTCAAAAAAAAAAAAAAAAAAAAAAAAAAAAATTAACCATAAATCATTTCAACTAAATTATTAGGTATTTTAATGTACTCTTCAACTCTTTCTGATAATAACACGGAACCAGTACAAGTTATTATTTAAATAAAGCTTTATATGAGCTTCTAGTGGTACCATCATTATCCGTAGTTTAGTTTCAGATTTTAAATAAAACAGTAATATTATTGACAAAAGTGATATAATAGTTTTAATGTGCCATCACTGATTATACCGGAAATAAACATAAAGTAAAAGTTGAGCACAAATCATGTTTCCTGCAAAAGAAGAAGATTTTCCTTACTATTTGCATTGATATTTTCATTTTTTAATATAATTACCACTATGAGTGGGTGAAGGAAAAGTTAGATCCTGCTTTATATTTTTAACCTGCTGAATCCTCTACTCCCCTACCTTTAGCAGATGCTGGCTGCCACAGACCATTTTTCACAAGAAGTTCTGCATGTGGAAAATACAATTTAGACCTAGAGGGCTGAGGAGAAGTTTTTAAATGATACAATATAAGGTGACAGAATCTGGGCCTTGAGCATGGGTAGTAATATGCCCTCTCTCTGTCATTATGCACAATATAGTGAATTGCCCTAAAAATTATATATTTGTTGTGCAGCCTGCAAAATAGTGATATGATATTTTCCACACAGAGACGATGTTTAAATCCTAAAAGAAATCCTTTTACTGTTGGTCAGTTTTAGGAATTTATTCTATGGGGATATGTGATATAATGCTAACACAGTAAAATGTGGGAATTAAATATAACATAATTTTGCCTTCTTATCTCACAACGAAGTATAAAGGCCATTGAGTAATAAAATGAGGGAAACTCCACCTATTTTACCAAAATGCATGAGCTTAGAGGTCAGCTACAATACAAATTTGATACAATAATATTCATAGATCTATTATTAGTGAACCCAATGATGGTTCTTGAATAGAGATTTACTGTTTGAGGGTTATAACTTTGCAAAGAACCTCTCCGTGTAGTATGTGTCTACAAAAATATTTTGTCAGTGACAAAAAGTGATAACATAAAGAGAGACACAGACCGAGGTAAGCAACATACAAGAGTTCTCCTTTGATTTTATGTTAACCTTGTTGCATGAAAAATTCCATAAATGCCTGGTGTTATTTTTGCCTGGTCCTTTCACTTTAAGAGAAAAAGTACAGAATACTTTTTATAAATCCTTGTAAACTTTATAGAGTAATGTGTTCCTAAGATCTGTAGCATACAATGCTATGTGCTTGTTACCATTCACATAGTTAAGCAATGATTTGTGCAATTAAATAATATGTACATTAATAGCCACAATCTGCCCACCGTTGTTTTTAGTGTTTTTAGTATTCAACAAAACATTTAAACACACCATTTCTCTTCTCTCTATTCTCTTTTAGCTTGTAAACTTAAAGACAAATAAAAGCATACCACAATGGTCAGTTTTTGGCAATCAAACTATTTTTGTAGCAACAGATTTGTTATAATAGATTTTACTTGTATTTAGCTATGCAGAATTTACCTGCACTATATAAATAATGATCATTATATAACATAATAATTTCTCAATAAATCACTATCCATACAATACATTGGTTTAGTAACAGTACAACATTTTCCTTATTGGACCTGCAATATTAGTCATGATATGTGTAGTGTATGTTTGACAGACTCCAACAGCAGATGGAGCTAAAGTAAATCTATGCAGTTGAATAGAATGAACAGTATATCTCCATTTAGTGATTAAGTTATATCTCACATTAATCTTGCTGAAAAGAGTGCTTAACATAGACAATAACAAGACACATTACAAGTGATGTGATTTTTTTTATTCATATAAGTAAAGTTTTTTTATAGCTGATGGAAAGAGCATCAAAGTAGAAGGAAGAGGTCATATCATTTTGACCATCAGGGGGAAGATGTAGAATCATCATGAAACATATATTATATGCTTCATACCTAACAGGGAGCCTTTTGTCAGGAGAATGTTTGTCTATCAATGGACTCACTGTACAATTAAAACAGCACGAATGTGCGATTGGGATCAAGAGGGAACTCATAACAATGGAAACTGCAAGGGAGTACTTGTACAAATTGTCAGAAACTTAAACAACATCAACTGTCATAACTAATATGTGTATGTTACGAGAGTGCTTTTGACAGACTCCAATAGTAGGAGGAGCTACAGCAAGGGTGTAAAGTTGACCAAAATGTTTACAGTTTATGCTTTACACTTAAAGGAAGCTCTCGAGTTCTCAAGTAGTTTTTTCCTATCCCAGTAAACTTTAATCTCCTTACATTTTTGAGTTCTGCTTATGTTTTTGCAGTAAACATAGCCAAAATCCCTAACACAATTTGCAGACGTCATACTCTTTATGACAAACTATAATAATGGAAGGAAAGAGAAAGTATTTAAAGGTATGTGCCTTGAATATTGCAGTTTGTCCCTATAGAAAAGTATTGAAATGGATCAGTACAGACTCACAAATGCTGCCTTGATTACTTTATGTTATATGTGAGATTAAACAAGGTCAGTTGTAGATGATTTTTTGATATCTCGTTCTGACCTATGAGTAATATGGACGGTGTAGTTGATTATGATGGGGTGAGCATGGCATTCTATAGTGAGAT